AAATCACGTTCAGGTAAAGGGCATGCACACTTTTAGAATACAGAAGTGCTGAAAGTAAGCAAGGTTTGCCTTCACAATCCACCCTCCACCCCGCCTGAGAGTAATTTCTCCAGCCTTTGACACCTGCCACTGCATGTCATACTGCAGTGCTTCCTGTCTTGGAATGACTTTGCTCTAGTGTCCCTTACCACTGTCCCATTCTATCCTCTATTGGTGACCTTTCACAGTAAGTTACACAGAGTAGCACTAAATTTAACTAGATTGTCCCTTCCACATAAATTACAGGTTGGTTGGGTTTGTGGTACTAAAAGCATGCCAAGTATTTTAAGAGTGGCGGAAGATAAAACACAGAAGACAACTGGGACACTGCACAGTGCCGAATTACACCGTTTAGGGAAATGCAACACTATGTCTGAAAAATGTATTTTGGGGGCAGGGGTTTCTTTTCCACTGAAATTCAAAACTAATTTGGATAACTAACTAGTATTACCCGTTGTTTCTAGTTTTCATAAAGATCTATACCACTCACATGCTCTTTTAGGGTGGACTTGAGAAGAAGCAAATATGGCAGAAGGCGGCATAACTGGTCCTTGGGGCCTGAGTGACTACCACTTAGAAGCTGAGCAAATGTCTAGACTGCATGTGCATGGAACCTTACCACACAGGGCACATGTTTTCCTGACCTCGTCTCTGTAGACACTTCTGAAAATTCTGAACTCAAGGCTCAAGGAAGAATGTCTATGCTGTCTTCTCTGCCAGAATCCTGATTCTTTAGTCCAGCCATTTGCCCTAGGGAAATGTGGGAGTCTCTCTATGCATGGCTTGAATGGCTTGTGTTGAAGAGACTACTCCTTTGTTCCAACTCTCAGAATCCACAGAGGGCGGCTCTAGGGAGAAACAAAGTGACCGCAGTAGGTCTTGTGTTGTTTCCATAATTATAAAGTGATGACTTTGCGAGCAGAAGGAGAATATTTAATTTGCAATATGTGTTTTGGTTGTAGTGGTGAAGTCTTTCCCTTTTGCCCCAAACAAGGAGGTCGAACAAATACCAAGGATAGGTGACTTCCGAGATTTTAAGGTGTCTTCTGACTTTGAAAAGATTGTGATACTCGTAGTTGAGACTGCAGCAGTATATCCAACTATCCTCTTTAATTTTAAATAAATGTTTATAAGGTGTAGGCATGTAAACCCTGTCTTATTGTATGGCAGGTTTACAAACCTTTGATATTATAAAGAAGCATAAAGGCAAGATGCAAAGATTGTTTCATGTGTAAACTAAACCATGACAAATTGTGTGCAGACACATACTTTCACTATGTAAATCCACATTATTTTCTAATTTACTATGGAAATTCCTATTTTTTACTATTATTTCTCTTGATTATAATATCATTACATCAGTTCCCCAATTTCCTTTTGTCTCTAATGTTACTCTTCTCTATATTTTAAGGGCTGGTCTTTTCTCTTTTAGTGAAAGTTTTTGTTTTCTTCTTGGAAAAGGAAATTAGTGATTACTTTTGATTGCTTCTTCAGAAGGTTTTTGACAATCTGACATTTAAAAGAAAAATGTTATTCCATTCCTTCAAGAAATGACCAGCTATTCCTGTGAATTTAACTGAGAAATGGGAATAGACAACCTGTGCAGGTGGCTTTTGATGCCGGATTCCTATAGGTGAGACTCTCAATTATTGCGAAGATGGAAAGCACAGCACAGCTGCAATGCCAAAAATGCCGTTCCTACAGTACTGCATGCAATGATACATGCTCAGAAATACAAGTAACAACGCTTCTCTATTGCAGTTTTTTTCTTCGCCTTTTTCACTGAGTCACTTGGAGCATGCGAAACTTTGATATTCAGTACGACTAGGGCTAAAGGAAAAGCAGAGGATGTGGTTTTCAGTCAGGGTGTAGTGAACCCTACACTTGAAGTTGCCTTCTCCTTCGGACCTAGAGTGAGGAAAAAGTAAGGGCGTTTCCAAATAAATTCTTTCTCTTAAGAAAAAGCAGAAATATTTCACATCACATTGTTTGACTTCTTGACGTCATGTCACTGCATTTTAAATAAAAGCATAAGTAACTGTTCCTTCAACTCCCCTAAAAGTAACTATTATAAATTCATAATTAATATATATAACACCAACTTTTCCACATCAGTGTCAAACTATGTTTGAAAACATCTCATACTTAAAACAACACAATACAGAATTAAATGAATTCTCCGTTCTATGATTAAAATCTCTAAGCCTGATAGGACACCTGTGTGCTTTAAACCTCCAGTATTAAAGAACACTTATCTCCCCAGAAAGCATGCAGTAGTTATTTGGTTGTGTTTCAACACAGGTTTAATTGGTTTCTTTCAGCAACTCTGGGCTCTGGCCTAATTTCATACAATATCCAATTGTGAGAGTTAAATGCATTGCTTGGAAAGCTTGGGCATAATCCATTCCCTAGACCTGAAATTACACAGCTTGATTGAGGAACTCTTACATTACAGGTTGTCCTGTAAATCTGACCCAATTCTGAACAGCTTGTTATTTTGCAAAAAAAAAAAAAAAAAAAAAAAAAAAAAAAAAAAAACAGCATTTACTGTTCCTAGCAGCTAGGAGTATGAACACAGGCAGGCACTGCATTACAAAGGTATTAGGAAGCCCTTGACATATGGAAAAGGAAAGACAAAAAGCTGGGTTCGTAGTTCTTCCCTTTTAAAATGTTTGGTAATTTTTTTTTTTTTTTAATGCATGGGTATGATACCCACTTGCCATGCTTGCATGTGGAAAGGAGAACAGGGTCTGCAGGAGGTGGTTTTCTTCCTTTCACCTGGTAGGCCCCATGGATTTAACTCAAGCAGCCAGACTCTGTGGCAACCAAGTTCATTAATGTATTCAGTCTGCCTGCTGGACCAGTTACCATTGGTTTTGGAAGGATGTTCATCTCTATCAGGGCAGAAAAAATTTATGAAATGCTTGCATTTTCTTCCTGGTTTAGGAGAGTCTATTATGACTGCATTTCACAGTCATTTTTATAATCAGCCCAGTAGCCAGTATCTGCTGTGGGGAATAGAAACAGAAGCAAATATTGAAGTGCATGTGTACCTATTTTTAATTGATCCAAGCTATTCTGTGTGGTGAAAATCCTGTTAAGCTGATAGGTTGTTGAGAACAAAGAGGGAGCTCTGTGTCCACTGAATATCCATGGGACATCTCACATCTGTCTCTGCATTACGTGTGCTTTTTGGATATCATCAGGTTACCCTATATAATGTTTTAAATACTAAACTCCCGCTTCTTCTCTGACTACAAAGCCCTTCAAACAGTAACACGTACGGTGCAACTGCCCAACTCATCAGCATGAACTGGATTTGATGAAAATTCAAATCCAACAATAACAAGAAAATCAGCTGTAATCCACAGTATAAGTGAAGATTTTAAATCATTAACATTAAATTATCATGTAACCTTCATGGCACTTCCTTTTCATATCAAAATTTCACTTAGTAATTATATAAACAGCTTAATTTCACTTGTATCATTGCTTAGGATTTAAAAATAAGCTAGAAATAAAATAGATCTTACTTTCATAATATATTTATATATATTCTAAAAAAATCTCTCAGCAAGCAGTATGAAAGTAGAACATTAAGATAAAAGGCAAAAGCATTGTCTTAGGACAAAAGCAAAGGTTGAGTTATATTTAATAATATCAACACTGCTTTAGAACTCTTGGCCAAGATAACCATATTTCATTTTAATAACACATATTTTCATAAAGAAATGACTGCCCCAGTCTACAAGTGTCTGAATGTAGGACTTAAATGCTAAAATCCAAAGAATAATATTAGAAAATATAATTGAATAAGTTCACTCCTTCAAAAAGTTTCAAACTCACTTAAGATACTAAAATATATTAACTGAGAAGCCATATTTGCCTTTCTCATCTGGATTGATAAGTATCCAGTTAGAGATTGTTTGTTAACATTCTCCAGTGAGTAGAGGCTACAGCAAAGGCTCAAGTTGCCAAGTGTTGGCTAAGTGAAATGTCTGGGAAAATGATTAACGTGTTATTCACTCGATATTACCAGTGCTAAGTCAGGCATAGCAGTCGATCACACCTGTAACCTCAGCACACTTGGGGGGCCGGGGGACTGACACATGAGGACTACAGTGAATTCAAAGACTAACTAGGCTGTAGTGACACCCTATTTAAAAAAAAAAAAACAAAAAATAACAAAAAGTTAATTGAATGTCTATCACATCACTATTTACCTATCATGAACTAGGAAAGTAATCCCCTCCATTGGATAAAGTGAGCAGTTCCATAGAATTTAACTGAATGATAGTCAGAACTTATGTTATTGACATGGGGGAAGAGCTTGAACACTCTAATTACCCAGTCCATAAATGGCTTTCAGTAGCTATATGTTCCATACACACAGGAAAAAGGAAACCAAATAATTAGATCTTAAATATTACATACACAGGTTATATGCCAAAATTTATAATCCTTTTATTCTCATAATGCAGTTTTTATGTCTGAGACTTTTAAAACCATGGCATATCAGTTGTAAGTGATGTTTTTAGGAAGTGTTAGAAATATGCCTGAAATAATTCCAATCACTAAAAAACTTGTAAAAGCTTTCGTAATGTACAGATATTTACATAGTTCTTACTAATTTTACATGAAATATTTAGGGACACTCATGAAAAGGAAGTGGTTTGTATTTCATGATGACTACAAGTTAACTGACTATTCTGAATTACGGATTGCAGAAACACGTTTAAATCACCGTCTTGAGTTTTACAATTGGACGAAGCATCAATTATAGCAGTCAAATGAACTGCTTTCAGTTTTTAAACTTACCCCCGAAAGCCATTAAGCTACAGACCAGTAATTCCTTCCTTTTCTAGACTTCACTGGAATAATTGCTATGAGAAATATCATCTGCAAATGTTTTATAAGGCGGCTCAGCCAGAAGGGAGAAAGGCGATCTGTTTTAAGCTTACCTTCTGCTACACAAACAGTCCATAATATAAGCCAAATAATTCTTGCTGATAATCTCATGGTTTGAATCTTTCTGGGAGGCAGAGAAATACAGCACCATCCAGTTCTCCTCTGCTAAGAATTGTGGTTACTGTAGGGAAAGACTTGCCCCAAAAGGAAGTTGAAACTTGGTTTAGGAAATCAGGATCGCTAGATGCTCCGCCCCCTAGCAACTTCTGCAAAGTAAACTAAAAGTGTTGACCACAAGTCTAGCAGCTTGGGCGTTTGATCCCAGCACTTACTGCACCCTGCCTGCGACCTGATGGATTGTTCTTGTAAATGCCTGCTTGTTTTCCTTGGAAACAAGTTCAGGTTTCTCGGAATGTGAGAAGCCAGGGCTGGTGATCGCCTCTGGATTTCATAACCACACAACAGAAATCGCTGAAGGCTCTTTTAAAAAATCGTTTGGCGAACTTCAGTTAGGCAGTGTTTTCAGGACCAATACCCAGGAATTGTCAGGAAACTTTATCGAGATTGTCACGCTGAGGGGGGATGGCAATGAGGGGACTGCTTTTCTAAATGCAGTTTTCCAAAGAATTCTTTTCATATGTGTGAGGTAACTGGCCCGTGCTTCCTTGGATATAAATGCAATAACTCAAAAACAAGCACTTGAAGTGCTGATTTTGGGGTATCTTATGGTAACTATATAGAGACACACACACAAAAAAAATGCCTGCAGCATGCTGAATTGGTGCAGAACCTAGGGAGATAACTCAATGCTCAACCTGTTAAACATGGAAACTCTGTCTTCATTTAATCTGCTGTGCTCTCCTGGTTTCTCCAAGAACATGGACTGTATTGGTCTGTACTTAGTGTAAGTGGGAAAGGAGCAAGTTACTCTTTTGTTTGCCTTTTGGGGCAAGTTTCCTTCACTAGGAACTTTATTTGGGATATCACTTCGCAGGACATGTCTCCTGATAATTTTTTGTCCTATGTAATATTTAGTTGGGACATTGCACAGTTTTGAGTTGTCCCTGTGCATGTAAATGAAGAGATGCAGAGAGGAAATAATACAAATAGTGCCACAATGGTAGACTGTGTGGGGTTTGGTAAGATCTCAGTCATACAGATGAATGAACCGAGTACAGTACATTTAAGCACATTGTGACGACCATAAGAACTTTCCAGAGACACTAAATGCAATGCTCTAATACCCAAATTATACATTGCATCTATACAGATAGGAGATTTCAGATGGCTTGCTTCCTAATCTGTTAAACGTTAAATTGGAATAGTTCCTTGCCTTGTGGGTGTGACAAGATATCTTGCAACAGTAACTAAAGGAAGGAAAGGGTTATGTTGACTCTTGCTTTTCAGAGACACAGCCAGTCACGCAGGGAAAGGACAGTCACAGAAAGAGGAGCAGCTAGCCACATGACAACCACAGACCTGTTGCAGAGAGCACTGATGACTGCTTGCTTACCTCACTTTCTTTTTCTTCAGTCTGGGACCCCTCCCCAGGAGAGATCCTGATGGTAGAACGGATTACAAAACCTCAATTTAGAGTGCTCAATGCTAATCATGGCACAAGAGGAGCTAGCTTCACATCCTGAAGTGCTGTTCGTTTTATGAAATCAACTGGACAGAATTTTTTTTAACTTTGACAATCCTGAAACTATATAGGCATTATAAATCATGGGTGGTGAACTCCTGATGACTTTTCTAATATTTTGCCAACAAGTAACAAATTTTAATCAAATATACAGAAGAGATATTTTCCTTTCTTATCTCTAGTAAAGTTATTATAAAATTGAGACTTATTACAAAATAAAAAAAGTGTACACTAAGATATATATACAACTAAATATATATAAAATATGTATGTACAACTAAAAATATAAAAATTAAATTAATAAAGATCTTATTGAATAATACACATATTGTATTACTTTTTAATTCTTTTGGGGGAGTGTTTAGATTATTTTTTTAATTTAAATAAGAAACAAACTTGTTTTACATGTCAATCCCAGATCCCTCTCCTCCCCTTCTCCCCTTCTCCCCTGCCCCCCACTATCCCTCTATCCCATCTCCTTTCTGCTCCCCAGGGAGGGAGAGGGCTTGCATGGGAGATCTTCAAAGTCTGTCATATTATTTGGAGCAGGGCCTAGGGTCTCCCCCGTGTATCTATGCTGAGAGAGTACACCCTTCTATGGGAAATAATCTCCCAAAGTCCATTCTTTTGCTAGGGATAAGTACTGATCTACTGCTAGAGGCCCCATAGATTGCTGAGACCTCCTCACTGACACCCACATTCAGGAGTTTTCACAGCTATCAATCTGGGGTCCATGAGCTCCCCCTTGTTCAGGTCAGCTGTTTCTGTGGGTTTCACCAGCCTGGTCTTGACCCCTTTGCTCATCACTCCTCCTGCTTTGCAACTGGATTCCAGGAGTTCAGTTCAGTGTTTAGCTGTGGGTGTCAGATTCTGCTTCCATGAGATACTGGATGAAGGCTCTAGGATGACATAAAAGGTAGTCATCAATCTCATAATCATAGAAGGGCAATTAAGGTAGCCTCTCCCCAACCCCCCCCATGCTCCCAATATGCTCAGGAGATCTTGCCCCTTTTCCTTTCTCTGGGGGACCATGTATGTCTCTCTTATGTTCCTCCTTGTTTCCTAGCTTCTCTGGAGGTGTGGATTGTAGGCTGGTAATCCTTTGATCTATGTCTAAAATCCATATATGATTGTGTACATACCATGTTTATCTTTTTGTGACTGGGTTACCTCACTCAGGATGGTTTCTTCCATTTATATTTATTTGCCTGCAAATTTCAAGATTCCATTGGGTTCTTTTCTTTGTTTGATTGTTTCTGCTGAATAGTACTCCATTGTGTAAATTTTCTCTATCTACTCTTCATTTGAGGGGCATCTAGGTTGCTTCCAGGTTCTGGCTATGAACATTGTTGAACAGATGTCCTTGTTGTATGAATGTGCATCTTTTGGGTATATGCCTAAGAGTCGAATTGCTGGATCTTGTGGCAGACTGATTCCCAATTTCCTGAGGAATCTCCAAACTGATTTCCAAAGTGGCTGTACAAGTTTGCACTTCCACCAGCAGTGGAGGAGTGTCTCCCATTCTCCACATCCTCTCCAGCATAAACTGTCTCTGGTGTTTTTGAATTTAGCCATTCTGACAGGAGTAAGATGGTATCTCTCTATCTCTTCTTTTTTCTCTTTTTTTGGTTTTTCAAGACAGTGTTTCTCTGTATTGATTTGGAGTCTGTCCTGGAACTCGCTCTGTAGACTCACAGAGATCCACCTGCCTCTGCCTCCTGAGTGCTGGGATTAAGGGTTTGTGCCACCCATGCCCCGCTCAAGATGGTATCTCCAGGGTTGTTTTGATTTGCGTTTCCATGATGGCTAAGGATGTTGAGCACTTTCTTAAGTGCCTATCAGCCATTTTTAGACTCCTCTATTGAGAATTCTCTATTTAGTTCTGCACCCCACCTTTTAATTTCATTGTTTGGTATTTTGGTGACTAGCTTCTTCAGTTCTTTGTAAATTTTGAATATCAGCCCTCTGTCGGAGGGGGGGTTGGTGAAGATCTTTTCCCATTCTGTTGTCTGCCTTTTTATTCTGTTGACTGTGTCCTTTGCCTTACAGAAGCTTCTCATATTCAGGAGGTCCCATTTATTAATTGTCAATCTCAGTGTCTGTGATACTGGTGTTATATTCAGGAAGTGGTCTCCTGTACTAATTTGTTCAGGGTACTTCCCACTTTCTCTTCTAATAGGTTCAGTGTGGCTGGATTTATGTGAAGGTCTTTGATCCATTTGGTCCTAAGTTTTGTGCATGGCAATAGATATGGATCTTCTGCAGTCTTCTAAAAGTCAGCATCCAGTTATTTCAGCACATTTGTTGAAGATGCTTTCTTTTTTCCATTGTATAATTTTAGCTTCTTTGTCAAAAATCAGGTGTTCATAGATATGTGGGTTAATATCAGTGTTTTCAATTAGATTCATTTGGTCTACCTGTCTATTTTTGTGCCAATGCCAACCTGTTTTCTTGACTATAGCTCTATAATAGAGCTTGAAGTCAGGGATGGTGATGCCTCTGGAAGTTCCTTTGTTGTACAGTGTTGTTTTAGCTATCCTGGGTCTCTCTCTCTCTCTCCTGGTCTCTCTCTCTCCTGGTCTCTCTCTCTCCTGGTCTCTCTCTCTCTCTCTCTCTCTCTCTCTCTCTCTCTCTCTCTCTCTCTCTCTCTCTCTCTACTTTTTAATTCTTACTCATCATTCTTTGCAGGTTCAAATCTATTTTATTTTATTATTATCCAAGCAGCTTTGAAAAGACAATTTTATGAGTCTCATGAAAAATGGGCTGAGGATAACTCCTGCTGGGTCTGCCCAGAGAAGTTGCACATGTACTTGAACACTTAAAAATGGACCGATGCCCTCTATTGAGCCAACCTGGTGACTGGAGACAGATAAAAGGTTCTGAGGGTCTCAACTGTCAGATTCACATAGCGGTAGGCAAGAGACAACTGTGTCGAAGGCATTCAGTGACATGGATAATTCATATATGCAATTGTTATTTTTATTTTACTTATCAATTTTGTTTTGCAAGACAGGGTTTCTTTGCCTCAGCTGTCCTGGAACTCACTCTGTAGACCAGGCTGGCCTCAAAGTCACAGAGATCTGCCTGCCTCTGCCTTGTGAGAACTGGTATTAAAGGATTATGCCATCACCAATAGGCTTTACTTACCAATTCTGAAACTTATAATTTATGATAATTCATCTTTAGTTTTACCTACATACCTACTTTAATTTTTTAAATTTTAATCTTTTGAAAATTTCATAAGGAATACATTGTATTTAAATGATTCCTACTCCTCTCTCTCCTCCTTCCAAATCCCCCCTTGTCCTTCATGCTCGTCTCTAATTCTTTACTTCTTCTATAATCATCATATATGAAAATATATGCACACAGTCACTCTACTGAGTCAAATTAATGCTGCTACATATGTATGTGTTTGGGGGTGACCACCTAGGATTGGGAAACTTATGGGGGGGGCTGCTCCCTGAAGATAACTAATTGACTGCCTATAACTTTTCATCTAAGTGTGAAATTTTCCCCAATTCATGTTGGTGTGTTGTCTGATGCCATCTTGAGAAGTTCTTGTGCAGGCAACCATATT